AGGGTTTTGGGTGTATAGGGTTTGGGTGCCTGGCGTGTCGCCGTGCGCCTCGTATGTCTTGCTGTATGTTGTTTTCTGTTTGTATATGTGTGTAAATTTAGGAGTATTATAAAACATTTGTCATTTATTTTTATATTTTATTTATATATATTTTATGTTAGTATTGAGGGGCCAAAGAAAAACATATCGATGGATCTCTCTCTATCGCCTCTATACTATGCGGCTATTTCCTTCGTCCTCATGTGGCCGTTGTTTCAGCTACTGAGGTATTTCGGGTGTACATACACCTGGGGATGTCACCACATATAAGCGGCGAAGCATTGGGGGCCTCGCTGCGTTCTGTTGGCCTCCCCGTGAGTACCGCATGGGTCTGTCGTTGGCTGGAGGAGCGCAGCAGCAGCAGCAGCAGCAACAACAACAGCAGCAGCAGCAGCAGCAGCAATGGCAGCAGAGTACCCTCGCCGTTTTCTTCTTTTGCTGCTGCAGAGGCCGCAGCAGCTGAGGCTTTTCTTCGTTCGGATATAAGAGAGTCAGGCGAGCCTCAGGTTTCTCCTTCTTTGTGTTGCTGGCACAGAGAGAGACTGATTGGGGTGTATATACTGCAGGTGCTGTCGGTGATAAACATAAACGAACCTTATAAAACCCGAAAAAAAATACAACAAGGAAAATATAGATGTCTTAAGCTCTGTCTCACCGACGGCCACGTACTGCTGCCTGCAGTTGAATATAAATATATACAAACACTCACGCAGAGTACCCTGGGCTTACGCGCTAAGCTTCTGGTGTATGGACACCCGGAGGTGCGCAGGGGCCTCCTCTTCCTGCAGCCGCAAAACGTACATGTTCTATGGGGGGGCCTCCCCAGGCCCAACGAGGCAGCAGACACAGAAGAAGAAGAAGAAACAATAGTAAGCAACTCACTGGGGGGCGGNGGGGGGGTGAGGGGAGGCATTGATGCAGCTGTATGTACACCTCACCAGGTGCATGTACACCTCATACACTCTAGAATTTCGTGCGTGTGGCTCAGGCAAAGCTGCTGCAGCAGCAACAGCAACAGCAGCAGCAGCAGCAGCAACAGCAGCAACGGCTCCCAACTGCTGCGCCTGCTCCAGGAATTGCTGCTGCAGCTCCCCGTACCTTCCCCCCCAATGCTGCTCCTTCTGGGGCCTTGGGGGCCCCCGCTCCTCAGACGCCAGCTGCAGCAGCAGCAGCAGCCTCGGGGCGCCCGCAGCAGCCACAGCAAGGGTCCCCCACGCCCGGCCAGGGGCCCCCAGGCTTTATGCAGGGGGGCCCCCAAGGCAGCGATCAGGGGCCCCTAGCCACGTGGAAGGGCCCCCAGACATCCTTTCAGAGGCCCTTCAACACAGGTCAGGGGCCCCCCGCGCCAACGACCAGCTCGGGGGCGGCTGCGGAGGGGCCCCTGTCTCGCGTTTGGCCTGGGGCCCCCCAGACGTGGCAGGGGCCCCCTGCATCAGGAGCTGCTCCGGGGCCCCTGAGCTGCTCCAGCTCTGTTGTTAACGACGAGTCTTCTCTTCTTCTTGACCTAGAAGATATTGCAGACGCTTTCGGGGAAAACCCACCGGCACAGCAGCCAGCCCCTCTCCAGTGGAAGACCCAGGGGCCCCCTGCGGTACCCACACAGGGGCCCCCTTCGGCGCATCCGCACGGGGGGCCCTCGTGGGCACCTCAGCAAGGGCCCCACCAGGGGTCCCCTCAGGGGCCCCCCACGGGGTCACCCCAGGGGGCCCCCACCGGGATAACCCAAGGGCCCCCCCTGGGGTCACCCCAGGGGGCCCCCACGGGGACACCGCAGGGGCCCCCTCAGGCGCCGGCGAGGATGCCTCATAAGGAGTCTCGACCTGGCTCACTGGCGGATATTCCATTCGAAAGCCAGGGGGCCCCCCAAGCGGGGTACCCACCTGTGGCAGATCAGGTGCCTGCTCCGGGGCCTCTTCAGTGGCCCTCAGTTTCTGAGCCGATGCCGCAGCAGGTTATTCTTGAGGATAGGCCTGCAGCAGCAGCAGCACAGGTGGAGCGGCGAGAGTGCTTCGCGGGTGTCTGTACACCTCGAAATGACTCCTTGTTGACAGCCTCAGGAGAGCCGCACGTTGCCTTGCCTTCTCCAGAGGCCTCAGGGGCCCCTTCTGCGTGGCAGAGCCAGGGCGGTGCTGCAGCAGAAGAGGGAGAGGGGGCTCCTTTCTGGGTGTTTGGCGCTGTGATTAACGCAAGGCAGCGAGAGGAGGCGGGGGCTGAGTGGCAGCTGCTGATGACAGACGGGCTGCGCGTGTTCCCTGCTGTGAGTGCGGCGGACGTAGCCAACGAAATTATTCAGAAAGTCGAATACCCGCCGTTGCTTTCTTTGATGTCAGCTGCGGAGAAGATGAGGAGTGCTCAGGGTCACTTCCTGCTGCAGATTCAACGGGAAAACGATCACAGCCAGAGAGTGCAAATCATCGGGTTTCAGATCAACGCACCTCGCGATGAAATAGCCGAAAAACTGCAGTATCTTCGTTCTCTCGTGGCCGCAGAAAGGCAAATACAGACTCAAAACGGAGAACAACATATCAATAAAGAGTGAAACTTCATCCTCAGCCAGCTTTCCATCAGCTTTCCATCAGCTTTCCATCAGCTTTCCATCAGCTTTCCGCTTCTGGCGATCGTGGGATTCGGATTTCTTTGCAGTGCAACTCGAGGTAAGAAGGCCATGAACTGCATCTTAATGAACACCGAGAGAAACGAAACATTAATTTTATTTCTTCGTGTCGGTTGAGTTCACAAGGAACAGCCCCCTATTCTATTTGAAGGGCTTTTTGTTTTTTTTGTCACCGAGGCGATGTTCCGTCTGGGGTGTATAGGCAGCTCCGCTTCCTGCTGGTGCCTGTTTGGCATTCGAAGGCGCTGTCCGCATTTCCTCTTTATTCAAACTCCTGAAATCTAATTTTCTTTTGTTTTCGATATTTACGGTCTAGGATTTATTGTTGAGTTCAACTCAAACGTCCTCACAGCCGCGTATTTGTACTCATTTTCGCACAGAAAACTCTCAGCAACAATGCAGAGCATTCAAAAGCTGCACAGCAGCACAGGCCACAACTTACGGTCGCAGTATTTGTACCCAAGTTTCCGTCGCGCTGTCGCGAGACTTGTTGAAGCTGCTCTGGCATCTGGGAGCTCGCGAGTTGATATTTTCCTCAGTTTTCAGAATTTCGAGCTGAGTGTCAGTGACAATGGGTATGCGCTTTGAATACAAAGAAGAAATAGAGTAAAATAATACTTCATTTTATCTCATTCACTCGTGTAGGAAGGGCCTAGATGAGACAGAAATGGAAGACTTGCGTTCCTTATGGCTGGATCAGGGAGCTCTGCTTTCCACTACGACGAACTGCAGGTGCATGCGATTGAATTTCATGTTGCACTTTTTTACGGCGATTTCTTATACTCCGCAGCGCAACGAGTGTGGCTCTGCTGGCGCACATTGCTGACCTGCATATCGTCTCGAGGAAAGCAGGGAAAGCTGAAACATTTGGCCTCACACTACCGCATCCCTGCACTCTGCATGCATGCAACCCGCGTAATTCTTGCGGCACTTGCGTTCGCTTGACGGACCTTTTCAAAGGATGTCCAGTGCGGCGAGCTGCATTGAATCTCAGAAAAGAAACTGAATCTATTCAGCAATTCACAATCGGGCTAGCAGTGTAAGATATTTACTCTGCAGCAACCCTCCCAGTTTCTTTTTTTATTTATATCATTTCTTCTTCGTGCATGCACAGGGCGCAGTATGACATCGAGTAAGAGTAAAAGCAAAAGAAAAAAAAACAAACAAACCCTAAAAAAAAAATACTGCGGCTCCTCTCTTCTCAGCATTTCGCTTACTACTGACACCAGCCTGCATTTGGAGCTGCCGGGTCGAAGCAGTATCAAAGAAAGAATCACCCAAATATTTGTACGACAGAAATTCAACTTTTTCTGTTTTTTTTTTTCTTCTGCAGGATAACATAAATTTATGAATTTCTTTAGGGGAGAGAAGCCGCCAGTCAATTCGTGAGAAGAGTCATATCGTTTATTTATTTATTATTTTGTCTGCATCTCCTTGTCTGTGTTTTGTTTTCTTTTTTTTTTTTGTTTATTTTTTGGTTTATTATTGCTATAGGAGGAGTGCTCGTCGGCGGGAGAGAGTGTTCGTGTAGAAGGCGTGATGCGGCGGCTATCAACAGGTTTGTGTAGAGTTAAAATATTAAATATTTTATTTATTATTTTATTTTATTTGTTTTTTTTAGAGGGAGAAACGCGTCGTATCCGTCAGCTTTCCGTGAATTTCCTCTTCGTTTCCACTTTTGCAAATTTGAATTTCATGAAGCGCCGCCGGCTGTATTCAGATCAACGGGCGACCTGTACAGTGCCCCATTATAACTTCTTTTATCGACTCTTTGTGAGAAAAATAAAATATTTTTCAAATATAATTCATAAATACAAGTGCTTTCATTCAGAATTCATAAACTCTCCCCGCCAACCGAAAAAAAAAA